CAAATCCCACCTTTGCTCCCTGCCCGAATGGGAGGCACCTTGTGGTCCTTGCAATGTGCACTCACCTGACCCAAGGAATGCCTCTAGGGTCAGACCGGGCTCCCTGGCTCACAGCCCACATCTCTCCAGGCAGAAGTGGTCTGGTGGGATTACCTCTGGCCCAGCCCTTGGCTCATGGCTGCAATCAACCAAAGGCTCCATGTACTGGGCACCTGCCGAATGCCCCGTCCCGTGTGTCTGCCAAGGGAAGACAAAGTCAACAAGCATCCCAGGACAGCTTCCCTGGGCTAGGTCCTGTGGGGTACATGGGCCCCACAATGACCAAATCAGAACAGCCCCTGTCCCGGCAGAGCTGGCGACCTGTAGACCAAAGAATCAGGGGACTGATAATCTGACTGCAGGTTGAGGCTCTGTGTATGTGTGTTGGGGGTAGGGGTACATGAGGGAAGTCTTCCTGTAGGAGGCGGCAGTGAAACTGGGCCTTTAACGATAAGGAAGGACAGGCATTCCAGGTAGGGGTACAGCATGAGCACAGGAATGGCACTGGGACTTCAAGGTATAAAAGCAACCATCACACACCAAGGACACGAGGTGGGCTTTGAGATGTCCCATCATGCACCCATTTGGGTCCAGCAGCCATAATGGCCCCAAAGTCCTGCCCTGTGACTGGTCAGGTGGCCTGGAGTGACTCCTGTCCTCTCTGCTGCCACGCTGGGGATTTGGGACCTGCCCCGCAGCCGCTGGCTCACCTGCCGGGCATGCCTTTCCTTGGGGTCCCTCCCCACGCCCAACCCCACACTCTGCCGCCGGGTGGGCAAGTGCAGCTGCGCAGGCGCGGGCTCCCATCACAGGGATGATGGGAAAATGATGAACGAGCCTCCCTCCCACCCCTGCTTCCTGGTCCACCCCCCCCGTGACAAACGGCCCCTCTGCCTCCACGGGGTCTCGTCAGCCGCCTTGGCTGCAAAACCTTGGTGGCGCTTGGTGGAGATTTACGTCCATCTTCCCCAGATTCTTCTTTTTCTCTCTGCTTCTTTATTCCCTCAAAGAGCACCCTTTTATTCATTCATTCCACAGACGTCCTCCCAGCCCCTCCTGTGTGCTTCTTCCCGGCAGTGAAGAGATCTGACTTCAGTACACGCTCACGTGTTGCCCACCTTCTCTGCACCAGTGTCTGTGGCCAGCCTCGATCCAGGCATTAGCTGAGCAAGGCCGACACTGCAGGGTCAAGGGCCTGGCTTCTAGAAGCTCTGTGGCAGGGTAGCAGCCTCACTCCCCCCGTGGCTATTGAGGTATTGAATCCTGCTTGGGGTTTCTGCAGGCTTGGGGTGCTAGGGTCACCCCAGTTTTGCAAAGAAGGAAATTACTTATTTGCCAGAGATGGGTCCTGACCCTGAACTTTGAGACAACACTCAAAAGAAAAGCTGTGGCAAAGCATGCCAGGCTCTTGGACCTCAGGTTCCTTACCTGTGTGAGGATGTGAGCAGAAGGGGTGGGGCGTGGGGACAAGAGGGAATGCACTCGGGGAGCCCATTCAGCCCTGACATGTGATGGTGCTTCCAGGACCGGACCAACCCCTGAGTTGTGCAGAGTGGGATGCACACAAGGGCGGGGGCCGAGCAGGGCAAGGGGGAGGCTGGGGGAGCAGGGCTGGTGCCTGGCCTGCCCCGTCGAGACCAGAAAGCTTGGCCTGAGCTCCCCACTCTTGCTCACCAGCTGTCCTGACTAGACTTGCACACAACCCTCAAATGCTCTCCAGGGTGGTAGCGAAAGGCACAAGTCAAAGTGGGTCCTTGGTCCTTAGCTCTCCCCTGGGCCCTGGGGCTCCTGACAGAGCAAGCAGTCCTCTCCCTGGGCCGGACAGGAGCCAGGGTCCATGGGGACCGTACCCAGCTGCAAGCATCCCATGTCGTGGGGTGGGCACCCAACTGGAGAGATGCCAGGTGGGTGCAGGGAAAATCCCATTGAAAGTATGGCAAGCTGAGTGTTCGGAAGAGGAGGCCTACCTTGTCATGCAGAGAGAATTTGGGCGGGGGACTGTTCTAGAGCTCTGTGGCTCTCAGCAGGCAGAGTGCCTGCTGGGTGGTCTCGAAGGAGTCTCTCCACCTCTCTGTGCCTCACATCCTTACTGTAAAAACAGAGGCTGCTTCCCACACAGGCTGGGGGGGGGGGGGTGCAACGAGCAAACACCCTAGAGCTGATGGACAGGCGGGGGCTGAAGCTTATTCAGGGCGGCTAGTATTTCCTTGCTTAACCCCCCTTAAAATGGTAAGGCGAGGAGACTATAGGTCCAGACGCACTAAAGCGCCTCAGTTTTCAAAGTGGCTCATTGAATTGTGTCCAGGAGACGTGATGGGGGGAGCCAGGGTCCTTGCCCACGCGGGCCCCAGGAGACAGTCCGCACCCCATGGGCTCAGACCCATGACTGGATTAACACAACACCTTGGAGATGAGCCCAAGTCACTGACCCTCTGGCTTGAGGGTCCACAGCGACTGTCATCCCAGCCGCTGTGGGGACAGACATTTTCATTTGGCCCTTTGTTTATTCTCTCTTCTGCTCAAACAATAGATAAACCAGTAATTTGGCTTTTAATGAAATTCTGCCCCGAGCAGCATGGGGTCACTGTCTTTGGGTCTACAATGAGTTTGGAACATATGCCGCTGAATGCCTGGTACCCCGGGCTGAACCCCGGGCTGACATTTTGTCTCATGCATAATTCTCAAGCGGTGGCTGATCCACCCAGCGCTTCCCCCGAGTGGCAGCCTGGGGGGCACCCGGGCTATTCAAGCTGGGGTGTGGAGATGGTTACATTGGAGCTATTAAATAAGGCTAATGTCGCCTCCCGCCCCCTACAAACATTTAATATATTCCAAAGATGTGTGGATGCATTAACAGCAATTTTCATCTCCAAATGTCCCCATTTAGTCAGTTCCATGCATAAAATATTAGCCCTGACACCACACGCCAGCCTGTTGCAGACGGAGCTCCCCAGAGCACCTGGCTCTGAGCACTGCAGTGTGCCACAGGGGGGAGGGGGCGCTCAGTTGGTGGTTGCAGGATTATCTTGGGGCTCATCTCTCCTTTTGGGGGTCCTGGGAGCCCCTTAGAAAGTGGCGAGGAGAGCCCAGACCCAGCTGACCCGACCCTGTTGCAGCAAACCTCAACCCTCCCAAATGACATCTGGAAGGGGCAGAAAAAGCCAGAAAACCAAACGTTTCACAAATGTAAAGAATTTCTAAAACCCGATCACCATATTCATGTGCTCCGTCACTACGTCTTCGGTCTTGTCTTCCGCTTTGTCTTCCTGTCTTCCTCCCTGCCTCCTTTGTGCCCCCATACTTTTCTGGGGATTAACTTGATAAAGGCCCCTGCCCTTAGGGAATCTGTTAGTCAATCAACAAACACTCGCCATTCCTCTATTATGGGCCTGGCCTGGGTCCCAGGACTGGGGACAGAGCAGGGAACAGGACAGAAAAAAATCCCTGCCCTGAGAAACCTTAGTCTGGGGGAGGAGGGGGAGAAAGCAGACATTAACAGCAGGTAATTTCAGACAGCAGTGGACCAGGAGGAAAGCTGGAACAGGGTACTGACAGAGGGCGACTAGGACGAGGGGCGCTAGGCTGGGGGGGTCAGGGACAGCCTCGCCGAACAAGGACATTCCATCCCCTCCAGAATCCTGAACCCCTGCTCTAGAAAGGGGCAATCCCTTTGGAACAAGAGACTGTGCTGGGTGCCCTGAGATGGGGACATCCCCATCTAGGCCCTAGAGAGGGGGAGGATGAGGCAGTCTGCAGTGGCAGCTGCACAGGACCCAGCTCCCAACAGACGGGTGGGTGGACCTAGAGTGGGGGTAGGTATAGGGTAAACGCCAAAAGAAGGGCGTGGCAGGGGATGTGGTGGGCCGCCTGGGGTCTTGCAGGGGGGCGCGAGGAAGGGGGTGCCTTGGAGGGGCTTTGGGCGGTGCAGAGAGAGCCAGATTGCTTGCTGGAAGGTTCTCCTGGCAAAAGCAGGAGGTGGAGACCCCGGTGGGGCCCGTGCAGGGGTGTGAGCCAGAGAGGGCGGCCCCTAAGGCAGGGCCAGAAAGGAGGGCCAGGTGCACACAGCTGCCCCACCCGGGGCCCGGCAGACCGGGCAGGGGAGGCCCTGGAGCCATGGGGCTCCACCGGCGTGGTCACTGCTGGGAACCTGGCACTGGGCACAGGGAGCCCGCAGGCCTGCACCGACGCCACCAGGGGAAGGGCGTGCAGAGAGGGGCCTTCCAGGGAGAGGCCGTTGTCTAGCCACCCCCCTCCCCAGTCCGGGGATGGGAGCCAGCGCAGAAAAAGCCTCCGGCCGCCCAGAAGACAATTCACTAATACCAAACACCCTCGGGTCACCCCCTGGAGGCACTCTAGGAGCTCCCCTTTGCAGTAGCCCAGACCCGTCCCCCCACCCCCCACCCCCCACCCCTGGGGCCCTGTGGTGGTCTGGGCAGGGCTGGGCGCCCTCGGGAAAGGAGAATCAGCAGGTGGAGGCCTAGCCCAGCCCTGGGGTAACGGCCCCGAGTGGGGACGTCAGGAGCGACCAGTTTGGGGGCCTCGGGAGCCACAGGCCCACTCCATGTGGCCCTCAGAAGCCGTCTAGAACGAAAGGAGCTGGAACATGACCAGGCCGGGGGGCACGGGTCCCTACACCAAGTCCACAGGTCGGCCAGCGCCAAGGCTTCTGCTACCTGGAGCCGGCACCCGGACGGGACGTCGTCCAAGGCGGGATTCGATACCGGAAAGAGGTTGACTGTATAATATTCATCGTATAGAAAGTGAACACCTCACAGGCAACCTATTTCAGGTACCACTGAGCAGGGCTGACTCCAGACGGGAGGCTTCTTCCTCACAGACGGCCCACCACGCGCCCCGGGGCCACGGGCTGGAGGTCAGCGCATGCTCGGGGGCCCCCGCCGGCCCCCTCCCCGGCCCCGGCCCGGCCCCCTCCCTGGACGGCAGCGCGAGCAGGAGGCATGCAAGGTGGGATCTGATGCTGAAAAGGGGTCGACTGCGTATTGTGCGTCAGGATGAACGCGAACGCACCACGGGCAACCTCTCCTCAGGCACCCCACGGGGCAGCAGGTGCAGCAAGCAGAAGCTCGGGCTCTCCCCCAATGGGGCGGCGGCCGGCGCGGGTCCCCAAGGCAGGGCGGTGAGTGGCAAAGTGGCTGGGACAAGCCTCCCAGGTGCAGGCCATGCAGGGGCTCAGCCCTCGGTGGGGGAGGGGGGCCCCCGGGGACAGGGGCAGCCGCCCTCCGCAGTGGGGGGCCCTCCATGGTCTGGGGCACGGAGGACAGACAGAGCCATTCGCCTTGCAGCAAGCGGGGCCTCGTGCCCAGCCTCCCCCGGTGCAGACCCCCAGCGCCCACGGGCCCTCCGGGAAGCTCTCCCGGGGCGGACTCGATGTGGAGGGTCGGCGGAGAGGGCGACACAGGTCATTCACAGAGCCCATGCACTCACGTACCCTGGAGGGGGCCGGCCTCAGAGTCGCAGGTGGTACTGAAAACAGGCCATCTGTGTTATATTCGGCATTAATAAAGCGAACTCATCACAGACAACCTCTCCTCAAGTACCCATGGAGACGCCGTCGAGGGCCGTCGAGGGCCGCCACCGCTGCTGTGGTGACCGCCTCGCGGGAGCCGTCCTGAGGGTGGATCAGACAGGAAAGGTGAGGGGCTGCCGGCTGGCCGTGCACGCCCGCCCTGCCCCGCCCCTCCCCTCCAGCCTAGGCGGCCAGGCCTCCACCCCGGGCGCCCCGCTGGGGCGATGACACAGACCCCTCCCCCCACAGCCCCATGCCCGCCCCCGCAGGGCTTCATGTCCAAGAGATCCTCCAAGGTGAGATTTGATACTGAGAAAAGATCAACCATGTATTATTCGAAGTCAATAAAGCGAATATAACACGGTCGATCTCCCTTCAAGTACCAGGAGAGGTGCTGAGCTGAGGAGCGACGGGCCCGGGCCCGCGGGCCCTGCGGGCTGCAGTGGATACGGACGGCTAGTGGACCAGGTGAAGTACATTCGAAACAATTACTTTCCAACTGGTCGACCATCCGTCCTGTACCCCAGAGCGGTGCTGCTACCGACGTTCTTCCCCGAGGTGCCACGGCCTCCGAGTCGGCCTCTCTGGTGGAATTTGATACCGAAAAGGGGTTCACCGAGCAACATTCGTCGTCCAGATGCAAAGTTGCTCGGGTAACCTCTCCCCGAGTACCATGGAGAGGCTTGGACGCTTGGACTAAGGCAGACGCTTCAAGGTGGCTGTGCTTCCAGAAGACCCTCCCCAAGGGCAGCCTGAACGCTGGGCATTCAGGGGCCGGAACTTCGCCCTCTACCGGACTCCCCTGCCCCCGCCAGCCGTTGAGGCCAACCATTCCATCCCCTCCCAGAATGCGCCAGATCCAGAGACCATTCCCCGAAGTGAATACGAGGGCCGTGGGGGGTGGGGGGATCTCAGGCTGGCAAGGGGGTGCCCTTGCTTGGGCGCACCACCCTAGAGGGCTCCCCAAGGCGAGCTGACGGGCATCTGAGGCGCCCTTCTGCCCGACTGTCCTACACGGGGGCTATCTGCCGATGGGTCTGACGCACAGCTGACGAAGATACCACCCTGCCTGCCCTCAGCTCTTCTTTCCCAGACCCCGGAGAGGGTGACCCCAGGCCCCGCGCCAGCACAAAGCCTCCCTCCAGGGGGCACTGCGTGTGTGCGCGGTGCTAACGCCCAGCACTGCGCTCCCCGAGGTGCCCCCAACACCACCTCTAGCCCCGTATAGGCGTCACCCCCCCGCAGCGTCCTCCAAAGGGCGATTTAATACAAAAGAAAACTGGTTGATCATTTGATTAGCCTCACAAGCAAAGCAAGCAAAACACCAAAAATAAAGGCTAGGAGGAGTGGGGGGAGAAAAAAGCAAATGAGCCAAACATAATCTCTCTTCAAAAAAAAGGCAAAGCAGCTCTGGTATCAGAACCCTGGTTCTTCACAGAGTTGACATCAGATCCAGAATATGCCCCCAAATAATGGACTGGCCAGAGAGGGCCAGGGAGCAGATGACATATGCGACAAGCAGAGTCTGGATTCTGTGCCCACCACCCATTTTGCGAACTTGGGAGTGGGACCGACAGCAGAATCCTTTCCCTGATGTTGGCAGGAGTTCAGAAAGCCCTTGGGTCTTGCTACCATTGCAGCAAGGAACCGGCCACCCAAGGTCTGTCCTGAAGAAAGAAAACGCAGTATGGAAGCGTCCCTGTCCATGGATACTGACCTGCGGCTTAGAGATGCTTTCCCAGAGCTGACATCACCTCCTGACGGGCTCGTGAGAATGGGCTGGGCGGCAGCGGCTACTGGACCAGATGACATACATCACCAACACACTCAGGGCATGTCCTGGGGCTGCGCCCATGCACCTACCCTGGCGAGGGCTCCAGCCGCTGGCCACCTCCTGAGGGTGCTGTGGCTTCTGGGAATCCTCCAAGGCAGGGCTTGATCTGGAAAGAGATCCACCAGACCGTGCTGGTCATCCACGAATCATGCCAGCAAAGGACAAATTTTCACACCCCGGGCAACGGTCTGGATCCTAGAAACACCAATTCCAGGACCACCTCCCAAACGAGGCCAGCCTCCGCGACCAAGCGACACTCGGCTGGTCTGTGGGGCCGGCCTGGGGCCTGGGGACGTGCCAACACCTCCTGTGGGTTGCACAACGGCACTGATGACAACTGTCCCCACTGACCAAGGATCTCCTGCCTCACTTGTGGAGGGAGTCAGCGTGTCGCCCAGAGCTCCGCAAGGGGGTGAAGGGATGCCAAGAGGAAGCAGATCAGGAGAGGCCCAGCACTGAGAAGGCACACACGCTGGTGACAACATGCACCCCGTCACCAGCGTGTCCCCCCTGACGTCAGCAAGCCCGCTCAGGAAGCTCTCTGGGAAGACTTGGGACAGAAAGAAAAGGTCAGACGCATAAAGGACACTGTGCCCGGCCCCCGTGTTCCTGCTGACCCCACGGACCGCACGCCACACGTGCGAATTTAACCACCTTAATGAGAACTGTGCCGACACTGATTTTCATACAAATCGTGTTTTTCACAGTGAATTCCATTAAACTAATCAAATTCCCTGTTTAGCCTCCCTGGCTATGCTGTTGAGCTGTTCTCGTTTCTTTTATTTCCCTTTGCTATTTTCGCCCAAATCATCTTCATTAGGATCAATTCTTTTCCATTTACAAATTTGCACGGGGATCGGATCCCTCAGTGTGCCCGTGTCTGCGTCCGCCCGGCTGCGTCGGGAGTGCGCTGCCGTCCGTTTCCTCCCGTGGCTGCCACGCCTACAGGGCTCTGTGGCCCCAGGTCAGATGCGGCAGCTGACACGTTGTCGAGAAAATTAGATTCTTCTGCCAATTTGTAGACAACTGAGCATGTCTTACGCGGCGACTTTTCCGTTGTGTTTAGTGTTATTTTGTGTTGATTACTTTTATCACTGTTACTTAATACAAGTAGGGTTCAGTACTGACAGCTTCTATTCATCCCCTAACCCATGAGAAAATGGAGAGTGCTGGTGGGCAGGGGGATGGCGAGACAGAGAGAGAGAGGGAGAAGAGGAGCGGCGCAGGGAGAGGAACCGGAGAGACAGACAGACAGAACGCAGGAGGGGTTTTGTGCGAGACAGAGGGAACGAGAAGCCGCGGCCTCTCCAGCTGCTGAGGGCAAACTCTTCACTAACCCACAAGGTCAAAACTCCTCCCGAGGAGAAGCGGGGCAGGCAGAATGTCTTTGGGATCAGTGGTCAGACCGGTGAGGTAAGGAGGGTCCCAGGTGAGCTCTGGAGCAGATTGAGCACTGACACCAGCCTTCCAATGCCCCAGGTGACCCACGCTATGAACGGAACCTGTGTTCTCTGATCCACATCATCCTTGTCCACCCACACGCACACCATCCGTTCTCGTTCATGGGAGAGGTGTAGACCCTGAGCTTGCCACTGGGCCCCAGAAGCCATCACCGGCAGGATTTGATACTCAAACAAAAGTTGCCTTTGTGTGATTCAACATAAATAAAGCGAATTCACCAAGGGCAACCTCTGCTCAAGGGTCAAAGGTCAGCAGGGGCAAGAGCACCAGCAAGACGCCTCTTCACCGAGGGCAGCGCTGCCTTCAGGGTCTAGCTGCTCATTTCCACCCCCCGCCCCCAACTCCCTGGCACTAGCCTGGCACTGCACCCGGGAGCCTCCCACACCTGATCAGAACATGTCTTGTCGGAGGGGAGGGCATCATGCACCAGCTCACATGGCACCGGGTGATCCCCTGACCTGGCTTCAGCTGGGAGCGGGGGGCTGGGGGAGGCTCTGAGCACACGCACCACAAGTCAGACCCATATCTAGGCAGCATCTGGCCACTTACCCTCGAGAGGCACAGACACCCAGGTCCCATCCCAAAGCTGGCGCCTCCGCTGGGCAGGCCCTGCATGGGAATTTAACACAGAGAAAGGAGCGGTCATTTAACATTGTCTAGAAGTACTGTGGCCACGGCAGGGACCTCCAGCCTCCAAGCCTGTGGGGTCCCTGACCTGAAGACTGGGGACTCCTCCTGGAGTGGGGGAGCTGGCATGGCGAGGGCGAACCGGCCGCGTCATCGGGGAAACAGAGGCTTGCTGCTGTCCTTCATTCCCTCTTCCTTCCAGGAGGGCCTCGGAGAGCCACTTGATAAAGAAAATGTGTCAACCAGCCACTATCCATTCATCCAACATCACATCTACCACGTGCACTGAGGAACACAGCAGTAAGCAAAACCCCCAGGGAGCTCGCATTCTGGTGGGCAAGAGAATGATAAAGGAAGGTCTATGATAGAACAGCAACATAGTAATAATGGTCATCCCAAAAGCCAATTCTTTTTCAACTGCACTACATTTCAAGCACTGTCCAAACACTCTGCACACGTATTGAGGCTTTATACCTACTCTATGAGTAGGCATTGTCTCCGTTTTACAGATGGGTAAACTGAGGCACAGAGGTGATCGCCTAAGTAACTTGCCCAAGATCCCAAAGCTCGTAAACATAAGGTAAATCATACATGCTATGAATGATTCTTATCTTGCACCAGGAATAAACAAATCATGCCGTGGAAACCTGTCTTCAAATACCTCGATTCTCATGACCCAAGAAATCCCCACCCCCAGCCCCACCTCCCCAGGGTGGGCTTTGCACCCTGAGGACTAGGACACTTGAAGGCATCCTAACACAATGCATATGTAAAGTGTATGCCCTCCACTCAGCCAGGCTGTTGGCATAGCGCAAAGGTCCCCTCCCCTAGAATGTGTCCCATGTCCAAGATGACTTCATACAGGACAGAGGCTTACCAAATAAGCTTTCTTCACTAGTGAGTCTCCAGGGAAGGAGGGGTTAACAGTGACCAGAAAACCACTGTCTCCCCTACAAGGTCAGCATCATTCCTGGGAATTCTGGGCCGGGTGACATTGTCACACATAAAGCACTTGTCATGGGGTACACACTCCGTTTCCTTACCGTGGACAGGCACCAGATGAAACGTGCCCTTGTGGAGTTTTTCCCAAGAAGAATTTAGTACTGAAAGGAGATTGGCCATGTAATACTCATCATAAATAAAATGAACACACCATGGACAACCTCCATTCGAGTACCTGACTAAGGTGCTAGCTTCCGGCACGTCCCAGACAGCAGGCCTAAGGACGGAAGGGGTACGGAGTGAGGATGCTGGCGACACCAAGAGGGGGATGCGCGCTGTGCGGGCTGGCCCCATTCAGCTGGGCCCCGCCGGCAGATGCGGACCCACTGCCCCTTACTTGAAATTAGCGCCCCTTCCAGGAAGCCATGCAGGGAGGGACAGGCTGCGGGGCATCACCTGTTACACATGAGGAGACAGCACAGGGATGACTTCCTGTCAAACACAGAGAGACTCGACGACGAGACTACTGCCTTTTCAGGGAAACTGGCGTCGTGCGTAAGTGGTAACCCCAGAGGGGGTGGGGATGCAGGTGGCACACACATGGGAAGACCCGCACGTGCTCAAGACCATCCAGTCAAGAGTGTGGACGCCAAGTCGAGTCCCTGAAGCTGGCATCACCCCAGGGTGCCTGAAGGCTAGTTTTGATATGTAAAAAAAGGTCAGCCATGTAAGATCTGTCAGAAAATAAAGTGAGTACATCACGGAAGACCCGTCTTCAAGGGCTGCCAAGAAGCTTTGGGAAGAAAAGCCCCACTTTTCCCAAGATGGCACCGCCTCCACGAATCTTGCCACAGATGTATCACACAGAGGGTGCGGAGCAGGGTGCACTGAGTCAGGATGGTACACACTCTATAGTCAGCTCTGGTCCATGGTTCCCCCACCCCCCGCCACTGACCCCAGAGAGGAATGGACACTGAGGTCTCACCCTGAAGTAGGACCCTGCCCCAAACAGCCCTCCACAACAGGCTTTGGTACTGAAAAATAGGTGAACTATGTATGATTAGCATAAATAAAGCAAAGGCAACATGGATAACCTAACTTCAAGGACTGTAGATTCATGCCAACCAGTTGCCAATTCCTCTTCTCCAAAGTTGGCCTTCCCCAGGAAGTCCCCCTAAGGACACAGCAAACACGGAGAGTTAGCAGAATGAGAGTCATGCAGGAAGTACACGTGCCATGCTCAGTCATCCCATCATAGACCCTGAAGTAGCCCAGAGGTCAACACCTTCGCAGTGCTTGGCACGGTATCTCAGAAGCACTTCTGGGGGATTTGAATGTGGAAAGGTCAAGCGCAAGAGAAGTCACTATTCTGATCACAGCAAGGAACACTTCCCCCTTTCCCATCAGCATCACAACTGATAGTAGGGATCCTTTCTTCACACAGCCTTGTGTCCAGGAAGCCCTCCAAAGCTGGAGTTCATCCCAAGGAAGCTGACTTCGCAATATTGATTGTTAAAAAAAACTACAGTGTGGGATACAGATGTTATCATGCATGGTGTGACACTGACCTCAGAATTATGGCCTCATCTCCAAAGGTGGCCTTAACTTCTAAGAAGTCTCCCTGAGGATAAATTACACACTTAGGGTTAATAGTCCAGTAGACATATGTTCAAAAACCAAATCCTCCATTGTTAAAAGTAAATTCACATACCTAGCAGATGGTACAGACTCCACGTCCATCCCAGAAGCTGGAACTGCAACGAGGCATCCTGCCAAGGTGGAAGATTATACTGTGAAGGGGGCATCCAGGTAGGATTCATTTTAAATAGGCAAGTACAAGAGCAAATGACAACAGAGACTTCCAGATAAGATGGCAGCGTGGGGCCAGATCAGAGATTTTTTTTTTTTTTCCTCCTCCAGGAAACCCAAGAAAAGGCCAACACATAGAAGAGAAAAGTACTCATAGAAATAATAGAGGAAAATATCTTTGAAACAAAGGAACGACTAGCTATGAATCAAGAAGGCATAATATGATTCAGAAGAGTTGATAAAGAAAACCAGTGACTGAGTCAGATCCTAGTACTGAGCTAACAGAGAACCCTCTCCTCCACAAAGGCAGAGAAATGATGAATAAAACACAGCCACAGCCAAAATCAACTGGTAAATAAATGCACAGCTAAAAGGAATGAAAGGAAGGGAAACGATCTGCTGCCAATGAAGAGAGAATTTAATTCAGAGTGACAAGTTTGCAACCTGCCACCAACGAGACCTAAGGGACCCTGCACTGGAGACTCAAAGAGTCTGTGGTCATACTGTCCAAGCAGAACAGGGGATGTGACCTTGGGCCCAAGAAGTGTGGAGATCTGGAAGAGAAAGGAGAGCTAGAACACTATGCGGGCCCAGAGAAATGACAAGAGAGTGTGCTTCCGTCTAGGCTGTGGATGGAATGACTTCTCCTGTGAGCAACAAAGCTCCAGGACAAAGATGTGGTGAGGATTTATACCAGCCATCAGGTGTGAGAATCTTTAAGCCAACAATTGAGTAGGAAAACTGGTCCAACTGGTGAAAGCCTTGGGGTTCCAGACAGAACCAAACACAGAGCCGTAATGTCACCATCTTTTGCAAAGGGAACAAAACAGAAACACTTTAATTCCCACTGAT